CGACGACGACAACAACAACAGCAACATCAACCACAACAAGAACAGCGGCAGCAACAAGAACAGCAGCAGGAACAACAGCAGCAGCAGCAACAACAACAACAGCAGCAGCAGCAACAGCAACAACAACAACAATCAGTTTAAGACTGTTCGCTCTTACTTGCCCGAGTGCCATGCAATGTGTATACCCACGCCCTCGATACCCGCCCCCTTCGTCTTCGAGCGTACCCCCTTCTGGGGGGATTCTTTCTTTTTGCGGGGGCGGGCGGGCGTAGACAAGCGGGCGTGAACGGGCGGGGAATTATTCGGAGGATGGGGCACGCATCTCTTTGCCCACCATTGGAATTAGCGCGGGCCCTGCAAGAAGAGGAAGGGGGAGAACGAGGGAGAGTGGGAGGAAGGGAGGGGGAGGGACGAGGCTAAAGGGGAACACGCCAGGAGAGAGGGGGCGAGGAGGGGGGGGGGGGGACGATTGGAGATAGAGAGGCAGAGGAGGGAGGAAGGAGGAGGCTGGAGAGGGGGGGGCGAAGAGAGGAGGGAGGAGGGTTATGGGAGGAGGGTGAGGGGAGAGAGGAAGAGGGAGGAGGAGGGTGGATATTGAGGGAGAGGGGAGGGAGGAGAGAGGTTGGATGGGGAGGAAGGTGCAGGAGGGTAAGAGTGTGAATGTTCGAGGAAGTCCTAGGCGAGGGCGTATTCCTCAAGGAAGAGTTGGGCGGGAGCAGGGGTCCCGAGTACATTGTCGGACGTCTCAGGCGGGAGCGCCGGTCGGGCGGGCGGACCCTGACGGGCGGGTCGGGCGGGCGGGACATTCAAACGGGATTTTTGTGTAAATTGCGAGGAAGTATTAAGCGAGAGCGCGATTCCTAAGTAAATTGCGAGGGCGTCCTTGGCGCGAGCGTGGTTCCTGAGCGTCGAGAACGCGATGCTGCAATAAATTGCGAGGAAGTCCTAAGCGAGAGCGCCATTCCTGAGTAAATTATGAAGAAGTCTCGGGCGGGAGCAGGGGTCCTGATTAAAGAAGTCTCAAGCGGGAGCGCCGCTTCTAAGTAAAATGTGAGAAAGTCTAAAGCGGGAGCGCCCTTCCGGAGTAAATTTTGAGGAAGTCTCCGGCGGGAACGGGGGTCCTGAGTAAACTGTGAGGAAGTCTCAAGCGGGAGCCGTTGTTGTTGTAGTCCGGGGCCCAACAACGCAATCTGACCCGCAATGCTTTCCCTGTCAAAAAACAGGGTGCGAGCCCTGGAGGAAGCCCTTCAAGGGAAAAACCAATGGGCACCGGACAGGGGGATCAACAATAATTATTCTTCAGAAATGAAACTTCAACAACAACAACAACAACAACAACAACAACAACAGCAACAGCAACAACAACAACAGCAGCAGCAGCAACAACAACAACAACAACAACAACAACAACAACAACAACAACAACAACAACAACAACAACAACAACCACCACCACCACCACCACCACCACCACCACAACAACAACAACAACAACAACAACAACAGCAACAACAACAACAACAACAACAACAACAACAACAATAATAATAATGGCAACAGCATCAACAACGACATCAAGAACCACAACAACGACAATAATTTTAAGACCGTTCGCCCTTATTTGCTCGAGTGTCCAATAACGCGTATTTCCCAAACCCTCGATACCCGCCCTCTTCGGCTTCGTTCGAACCCCATTTGGGGGGTATACCTTTCTTCCCTGCAGGCCGGGCCCTGGCAAGCGGCGGGGCGGCCGCGGACCGTCGGCCTGGCCAGCGGCAGCGCTGATCGGCGGGGCGGCCGCGGACCGTCGACCCGACCCCAAGAGGGACGGACAGGGGACCGACCACGACGACGACGACGACGACGACGACGACGACGACGACGTCGAAGACGACGGCGACGACGACGACGACGGCGACGACGAGCGAAAGCGAGAGCGAGAGAGAACGACAGCAGGGCCACGAAGGGCACGAAGTAGGCCACGAAGGACGACAGCGGGGACACGAAGGGAATGCGTATGGGGCCACGAAGAGCGGGGGCCACGAAGTGCAGATAATGCGGGGCCACAGAAGGCAACTATGGGACCAATGAGGGTAGCAACTGGGCCACGTAGGACAGTGAGGGGGCCACAAACGGCGACAGCGGGGCCACGAAGGGCACGCACATGGGGCCACAACGGGCGCGACTCCTGGGTGCCTGGGTGTCGGGAGCGCGGCGCTTAGGCAAATTGCAAGAAATTTCAACGCAAGGCCATTCTTCAATCAGTTGCGAGCCAGTCTTCAGCGAGAGCGCGACTCCAGAGCGCCGGGAGAGCGATTCCTGAATAAATTGTAAGGAAGTCCCAAGCGAGAGCGCGATTCCTGAATAAAATGCGAGGAAGTCTCGGGCGGGAGCGGGGGTCCTGGCTAAATTGTAAGGATGTCTCAAGCGGGAGCCGTTGTTGTTGTAACCCGTGGGCCAGGGGCCCAGTTTGAGCAGGAAGACTTTCCCTGTCAAAAAACAGGGTGCGAGCGTCGAGGGGCACACTTTGATTGAGAAAAACAATATGCACCGGTGAAGGGGGGATCAACAATAATTATTCTTCAGAAATGAGCACTCAACAACAGCAGCAACAGCAGAAGCAAAAACAACAACAGCAGCAGCAACAGCAGCAGCAACAAAAACAAAAACAACAACAACACAAGCACCAGCAGCAACAACCACAACGACAACAACGACGACGACGACGACGGCAACAACATCAACCACAACAAGAACAGCAGCAGTAACAACGGGACAACAACAATCCTTTCCAGACGTTTCCCTCCTATCTGCTCGCGTGCCATTCAGTACGTATATCCCAAACCCTTGGTACCCGCCCGCTTCGTCTTCGATCGTACCCCCTTGGGGGGATATCTTCCTCCCCTGCCACGTGCATTTAGCGCAGTCCGAACAACAGGCGAAGAGAAGATGGATAGGAGGGGTAGGGAGAAGGATGGAGCACGAGAGAAATTAACAGGAGGGGGCCAGGAGCAGAAATCACGTGGCAGAACCAGACAAGCAGATCGGGCGGGCAGACCCTAGTGAGCGGTTCGGAAGGCGGGCCCAGGCAGCCAGATCGAGCAGGCGGGTTGCTGAAGCGTGAACCCTACATGAATCGCGAGGAAGTCTCGAGCGATAGCGCGACTCCCAAGTAAATAACGAAAAAAACCAAAGCGAGAGCGTGATTCCTGAGTGTCGGAAGCGCGGCGTCTCAACAAATTGCGATGAAATCCCACGCGAGAGCGCGCTTCCTGCAGAAATTGATATAAATTTCCACACGAGGGCGTTATTTCGGAATACATTGTGAGAAAATATCAAGCGGGAGCCCTTGTTGCTCTAGCCGGGGGGGCCAGGGGCACAGTCTGAGCATTAAGATTTCCCCTGGTAAGAAGCAGGGTGCGAGCCCCAAGGGGGACGCTTCAATTGAAAAAATGCACCGGTGGGAGGCGGATTTACCAAATTCATTCTTCAAGGACAACAACAACAACAACAACAACAACAACAACAACAACAACAACGACGACGACGACGACGACGACAACAACAACAACAACAACAACAACAACAACAACAACAACGACAGCAACAACAACAACAACAACAACAACAGCAGCAACAACAACAACAACAACAATAACGACGACGACGACGACGACAACAGCAGCAGCAATAACATCAACAACAACAATAGCAACAATCATGATAAGAGCGCTTGCTCTTATATGCTCGCGTGCCATTCAACACGAATATTCCAAACCCTCGGTACCCACCCTTTTCGTCTTCGACCGTAAACACCCCCTTAGGGGCTATCATTATTACATGCAACGTGTCTTTCGTGCAGCCCCCAAGGCAGAGGAATGAGAACGGATGAAAGGAAGGGACAAGTGGCAGGCGGGGTGCTGAAGCGTGAACCCTGGATAAATCGCAAGGAGGTCTCGAGCGATAGCGCGACTCCCAAATAAATCGTCAGGGAAGTCACAGCGAGAGCGTGATTCCTGAGTGTCGAGGGCGCGGCGTCTCAACTAATTGCGAGGACGTCCCACGCGAGAACGCGATTCCTGCATGAATTGTGAAAACGACCCGCGCGAGAGCGCGATGTGGGAATAAGTTGTCAGGAAAATCAAGCGGGAGACGCTGTTGTTGTAAACCGGAGGCCAGGGGCGCAGTTTGGTGACACCCAGTTTCCCCTAGTAAAAAACACGGTGCGAGACCCAGGAGAAGCACTTCCATTGAAACATACAATGGTTACTGGGCAGGGGAGATCAATAACCATCATTCTTTCGAGATAAGAATTCAACAATCATCATTCAAGACTGTTCGCTTCTATCTACACGAGCACCATCCAACACGTATATTCCAAACCCTCGATACCCACCCTCTTCGACTTCGATCGTACCGCTCTTGGTGATCTTCCCTACCTGCCGCGTGTGGTTGGCGAAGCCCCTAACACAGGGGAAGGAAGGGATAAGGGAAGAGACAAAGGAGAGGGAGAAGGATGGAGCACGAGAGGGATCTACAGGAGGAAGGCTAGGAGCAAGAATACAAGTGCATTGTGCTGTTCATTCTGCCTCTTTGCGGTGTGTCACGACTGACCGAAAAAAGCGTTTCGCTCCGGACATCCTCAAAAATTATTCCGCGGGCCCTCTCCCCGCCTCGTTATTTACCGCAGAATAATTCCTCCGGCCCTCTTCCCGTCGTCCTCGGGGGGAAAACCTACTAAAAGAGATGGGCCTAAGCCCTTTCCGGGGAAAAGGCATCCTGGGGCTTCCTGGGGCCTCCTGGGGGCGGGGGGGGCGAAAAGCGCACCCCGAACATATATCCCAATACAGAACAATGCCTCCTGGGGCCTCGTGAAGCCTCCTGGAGCCTCCTGGGGCCTCCTGGGGCCTAACCAAAAAAATACCACTGTCGCCACGCGTGCGCCCAGCCCCTCAGCCTCCCCGCAAGAGGCCGCCCCCGGGGCGTGGCGGGCACGGAGC